ACGGGTGTCGATAGGACACAGTCCACACCGTGCAACTGGCAGGTTGGGTTGGCTACATTTAAGCTCATTCCAATCATGATGGAGATGTACTCCAACATCTACAGTGTCCGGAGGGATACCCAAAGCTATGGCACGATCGTAGCTGCATTGGAGAAGGAGCTGGACAAGTGGGAGAGTGAACTGCCTGAAGATTTGCGCCTGGACCTAGAACAAACTCCGCAACAACACAACCTGGGTGCATTGTACCTGAAGGGCTACTGCCTGGAAGTTCGGCTCTCCCTGCGACATACTTCTACGAGCCCTATAACAGACCATGCGACAATGGCCCAGAATACCAAAATCTGCGAAGAAACAGCCAGAGAGTTGCTACGGACGGTAAAACATGTTTCGGAGCTCAAATCCCTTGACACGACGTGGACACAAATGTCGATCTACACAATGGCTGCTTTTTCATTGCTTGTATCATACTGGACTCGGCGTAAGGAGACGACCCCTGATGAGATCGCCACCCTTCGTCAAGAGATGGAAGACTGGATGGGGGTGCTCCGTGAGCTGAGCCAACTGATGGGATCTGGCCCAGGCATACTGAACCAGATCGGCAGCATCATAGAGCGGACAATTATTTGGATCGAGAATGAGACGTCACGTCCGCCGCCGCCACCTGCCATTAAACAGGAGCCGGTTCACCACGGCACTCAGGCTTCACAGCAAGTTCAACATCAAGGCACCCTTAACCAAAACCACACTGCGCCAGCTGTTCGACTCAAGTCGGATCAGGCGCCCGCGGACGCTTCCATTGCCCACGTTCAAGCCCATGGCCCTGTTGAGGCTAGGCCAGCAACTGCACCCATAAATGCTCCCGCACCACAGCAGGTTCATCATCAACATCAGCAGCAGCAACATCAGCAGCAACATCAGCAGCAACAGCAGCAGCAGCAGCAGCAGCAGCACTCTCTTCAACATCGAGCTTCCCCGCATCAGATCGCCCAACAGCAACAGGTGCATCCTGAGAGTACAGGCGAGAAGCATTACTACCATGACCATACCCAAGAAATGAACGCCCCCCCTTCATATCCCATTACTTACGCAAATCATTCTCACCATGATGGCACTCTCACGGCACAGCCCTACGACCATGAGACGGCCATGTACTACTCGGCGACTTCACAGCACGCAGCACCATCCTCCGTTGTATCAGTAACCCCTGGCGCCGAGTCCAACCCTCTCATTGCGTTTGCATCTCAAGCTGCGCAGCATGTTAACACCACTGAACAATTAATGTGGCAGCGCGCTGGTGGAAATGCTTGGCAAGACTGGACAGCAGCTATTGCAGACAGCGATGACCGCTATGGAGCTGGCGCTTTGCTCACACTCGGAAATACAGCTGCTGTATCGGGTTCTGGGCACCGAAATTCGATTGCCTCTATGTCTGGCGCCCAGCATAACCCCCAAGACATCGCAGTTCAGTGGCCGATGGTGATCAACACGATGGTCGATCACCAAAATCCCCATATGCATTTGCAACAGCAGCAACAGCACCACCCACATCATGCTCAGCATTCCCACCATCAACATGTGCATCAGTAGCAATTGAATGGATGATGTTAAATCGCCCATGTCTTTTGCACAATCATGCATTAATTTGGATATGATTAATGGCTCATTCTTGTTATCTTACCTGGAAATATTACCAATGGGCAATCCCGAGATTACTTGTCTCGCGATGATGCCTATTTAGACGTACTGCTGCTTTCGACTAGGGTTGCCTCCTTCATATGAGATGGAAAGCTCATGGATGGACTATACCCCTTATACGGCAACCTGGAAGTAATGAATTGTTTCTTCATAAAGATACTTAGACCAGTGGCAGAGGGTAATATATGGATTGACTTCAATCCCACAAAGCTGTCTTTTACTTGTCTTGAGCATCTGCTCTTTTCTCTCTGTGTGATACTTCTTCCCAACAAGCCAACCATCATTGTGTTCACAGACTACCTACTCACCGATATGGAATGCCCTCACTGTCACATTGCTAGTTGTGACAAGGTCATCCGCATATCGATGATGTATCAGCTTCCTGTCATTACTGCACCGCTCTACTGTTATTGTTATTATTTTGTTGTGGCTATAGGCGCATTTGGTTGTGATGAACTCGTTGACTCACTCCTAGGGTGTGGTAGTAGGGCTTGAGGTGTTATGATGAGGAGGTACTACACCTTCTGTATGCTTCTCTCAGCACCATGGATCCCCTTCACTGTTTCATTATTTTCGCTACTAGATGTCTGTTATGTTCTGGAGTTGGGACTGGAAGTTACAATCGTGATGCTACGTCCTTTTGCTTACCTACATTCATTTGCTTCTCGGGCAGCTGATCTCTTTTTGTGGAAAAAGTTTGGAATTTCACCTCGTTTTGGGAGCTCAGAATCATTTCAGGCCTTGGCTTATTGAGGGTTTATGAATAAGCAGAACTCACACTGCTGGCGCAAGAAATAGACCAATTTATTAAAACTCTTGGGAATGGGAGCGGTAGTTGTGTCGGTCGGGACCTACAGAACGGCTAAATTTTAACAAGATACATATTTGGAGCTGTTCATAATTCATCAGTAGTAGCGTAGTTAGAAGAACAAACGCGGAACGCGAGATCCAATTACAGGTCTTCTTAATTAGGTTCATGCACATCGTACATGTAATAACCGTGCTGGAGAAGGTGGTGAGGAGGCAGCTTTCACCGAGCACCTCTCGGTGAAATGAGCCGAAGCTTAGCCGCAAAGGCACTCGTTGTGTGATTCGACCCACACCGAGACTGTAGGCCAGGTTGTGGAGAGCAAACCTGGATAGCTCCATGCTGCAGCATCCACTCGACTTTACCTGGCGCGTCTCGACCTTGACATTTCAGCTCAATTCTACAGCTGCCGAACGCAGACGAGCGCACAGGACGACGAGAAGGCACGGCTCTAACCTGCGACTCATTCGACTTCCAATTCTCAAGGGCCTGCGGGACGTCAACTCGGTCGACGATGGGCAAAAAGAAGCGTGGCGGTCACCCCGACATCGAGGAGATCCTCGGCCGGCCGTGGTGCTATTACTGTACGTGCAGCCTTTGACCGCTGGTTGATTTCTTTGAGGGGTCCTTTGATCCTGGGCTAATATCTCGGTTCTTGATGATAGGCGAACGTGATTTCGAAGATCTGAAGCTCCTCATCTCCCATCAGAAGGCGAAGCACTTTAAATGCGACCGATGTGGTCGTCGACTGAATACAGCTGGAGGTACGTTTGGCATTGTGGCGCGCAAAATCTGTCTCTCGCATGATTACCACTCTCTTCTTTCCTTTAAGCTCTTGGCGACGAGCGATTCGCCTCTCTTTTACGTGCTTGGAACCACCGCTGACAGGGCATAATTTTCCTTGCAGGTCTCTCCGTCCATTTGAACCAAGTCCACAAGGAAACCCTCGAGCAGGTCGAGAATGCGCTCCCCAACCGCCAGGGCCTCGACGTGGAGATCTTCGGCATGGAGGGCGTCCCCGCCGAGGTGCTCGAGAGCCACCGCAGCCGGCTGATCCAGAACTTCTACCAGGCGCAGGAGGACAGGCGGCTCGCTACGGGCAACCCGCTCCCGGGCCAGTCGCAGAACACGAGGAAGAAGATCACGATCGAGACGGCTGAGGAGCTCAAGGCTCGGCTGGCGGAGTGGAGGGAGAAGAGGAAGAATGGCGGTGCTATGGAGGATGTTGTTGCAACGACGGTAAGTGTTTACGTTGGTGGTCTCGAAATTGATTTACTAATGTGTTTGTGATTCTAGACTGCTTCCCACCCAGGCTTTGCTCAACAGCCATTTGGTGACAACATCCCCACGCGACCACCTCCCGGCGTGCCGTTTGGGCTGCCTCAACGACCGGGTGACGGCCTGGCTCCCCAGGCGGACGATATTGATAACCTGATCCGAATGGCGGAGGCGCGCGCGGCGGCTGATGCTGGAGATGCTGCGGCCAAGGCGTCGAAGAAGGACAAGGAGAAGAAGGGCAGGATGATCTACGACGACGCCGATACGAGCCCGGAGGAGAGGATCGCTGCGCTGCCGCGGTATGCGTATGCAGCGTCGGCGGCATAAGTTCTCGATGGGAGACGAAAGGCAGAAAAGGCAGATGTCATTCAGACTGGGACGAGAAGGTGGAGAGTATTCATGGGATCAACTCGTCTTGATGTTGCGCCCTTTTGCAGGCCGACGTGGAGATCCGAGAAGAAGATGGATAATGGCGTTTTTGGGTTCTTTGTACATGTAGATTTGTGCAGTAATCTTAGAGTTGTTTATGCTCAGGATCCTCAATTCTTGCAACACTGCTAGATGTGAGTCGTGGTTGATGATTTATATGAGCAGGTCAATGGACGGTCGTCGCTAGAACGATGCGCCGCGCAGACTTCCACAAGTAATCTAAGCCTATTATGCGTGTTCCCTACCACAGGACCATCGCAATCTGACTTGGCGACAATGATGATGTCCACCCACCATGATTTCCAGAACCGTATGGAACCAGGGCTTTCGTGGGGTGATCGTCGATGAATGGAGGCGGGCACCGATAGCGAATGATGACATCGGTCACTACCTAGACTAAGTCAAGGTAAGGTAAGGCAAACCAAAGACTGCCCTGAGCTAAGGCCAATGATGAAAAGCGAGCCGGGCGAGATGCGGAAGTGTGGCGGAGCCGAGTCATGGGTCATGATGCTACCACTCTCTGTGCGTGGCCTCGCGGCTGTGATTGGCAAAGGCCGCGGAGAGCAAGTGGGAGGCGATAATGGACTAGACCGATGACGGCAGCGAAGGTTGGATAAGTAATAGAGTGTCCCTCCCATTTGGCTTGTTCCTCTAGTCCCTCTCCTACTGACAGCTCGACACCTTGCGATCCCGAGTCTTAAGCTTTACCGACATATCTTGTCCCACGCCCAGTGACGACAATAGACGATCCAATCACTCAACTAGACGCACATCAATCAATCACCTGCAGATGCAGAACGTCGCCGGTGGAGGCCGACCACCCCCTGTTCCCCCGGGATGGGTCGCCGAGTGGAACGCCCAGTACGGTGCATGGTAAGACACCTTGATCTCTTGGCTTCTGTCTCTTATCCGCGATGGAAGCAAAATATTGAAGCAATCTATTGACCTTCCGTCTATTAGGTACTACGTCAACCTCAGCACAAACGTCTCGCAATGGCAGGCGCCCAACCCAGCCTCTTCCCCCGCCCCGCCAGGCCCTCCCCCTCATCTGAGTGGTGATGCCGCCCTCGCCGCCAAACTGCAAGCCGAAGAAGATGCCCGCGCCCACAGATACAACCAGCCGCCGCCATCGCAACAAGGAGTGCCGCCGCCTTACTCGCCATCCCCCAATTCGCAAGGCCACGGCGGCGGATACCAAGCCCCGCAACAACAGCAGTACGCCGGCAGCGGATATCTACAACCAGGACAATATGGCCATCCGCAGTCGCACAGCCCGAGCCCAGGGATGAGTCCAAACCCCTATGGCCCGCACAGCCCGAGCCCAGGTCCTGGAGTCAGCCCGGGGCCGTACGGGCAGCAGCACGATCCGCGACAGCAGGGCTACAACCAGCCGCAGTACTATTCTGGCCAGCAGCAGCCGCCTCCCAATGGGGCGTACGGCCAGTACCCCCCGTCCCCCGGAAACTACGGGCAGCAACAGCCCCAGGGATCAGGGAGCAACAAGGCCAGTGGTGGTGGTGGTCTGCTGGGGAAGCTGATGGGCAAGACCAAGATCCCCGGGGGCGCGTCGGGCTCCGGCAAGCCTCCCAAGGGCAAGAAGAACAAGTGGGCTGTGCCGGCTGCGCTGGCTGGAGGAGCCGGTGCTGGTGTGCTCGGAGGAGTGGCGATGTCTGCTCTCGGGCACAGCGTGATGGGTGGCCATCACGGCGGAGGGGGTTACTACGGCGGTGGTGGAGGTTATTACGGTGGCGGCGGAGGGTATTATGGAGGAGGGCACGGGGGCGGTGGTTCCAGCTCGAGCAGCAGCAGCAGCGATGGTGGTGGCAGTGATTATGGCGGTGGAGATGATTGGGGAGGTGGCGGGGATGATTTTGGAGGGGATTTCGACTTTTGATCACGTCTGTTATGGTTTATGTTTTTATGCTCTAGTATTATCATGTTTAGAGGCTGCGCTCTCACGAGTTAATGATTATGGTTTGTTTAATGATTTTGGTTTTCTTTCAAATCGTTTCCCTCAAAGATATAACGGGAGATCTTGTTTATGTTATCGACACGGCTGGCAATGAAGAGGGGAAAGTTTACTGTTTAGCATCTTCCCATACCCATTGCTCATATTCCCACTGCGTCTCGAACCCCAGCTTCTCGTAGAAGCCCCGGAGCCAGGTCGAGTCAACCATGATGCCCTCGAGCCCTCTCTCCTTCATGTTCTCCATTGCTCTCGCGACCAATCCCAAACCTACGCCCTTTCCCCTGAAGTTAGGGTCAATGCCCACTGCAGAAATCGACCCCGTCTTCTCCTTGGTGGGGGACAGAGGCAGGAAGGCATACATGTCACTGATGATGGCATTGGGGGAGCACATGAGTGTCCACCCAACCTGTGCGTTTGTGTCGGGGTCGATGGCGACCATGGCTTGAGAGTGTTGGCCGTACTTGGCGAGAATTTCATAGCCTTTCCACCAGTTCTGCGGTCCCAGTTAGCGTTCCATGTCTACAAGTTGCAAATCTCATGGCTAGGTGGGAGACGAACAAAGTTGGCCCGTTGCTTCTCTAAGCACTCCTCATATAGTTCTGGAGACCAGGGGCGATATATGATGTTCGTCTTGGCAACTTTCCCCAAGACATCTGCGGGCACTACACCATCATTGCGGATGTCTTTGAACAAGTCACGGGGCCCTGAATCCGGGGATTTTTTGAAACCTAAATCATGTCAGAAGGAGAGACTTAGGTCTGTCGTACGGGCATTTTTTCACATACCGCAGTGCGAAAAGAAATCCTTCACTCCTTGTGACATGTTGATGGGCATCTGTGGCCAGAACCGAGGCGCCCATGACCCAACTTCAAAAGACTGGAGCTCCTGCTCGCCAGAATCTTTCCTCGCCTTCTTCAGAACCTCGTGAGCTCTGTGTACGAGGGCTGTCCCGAGGCCCTTGCGACGATGGTCGGGCAGTACCCCCACGGCAGATATCATGCCGAGCTTTCCATTCTGGAGGAAAGAGAGGCAGAATCCGTGCTCGTGGATGAGATGTTTACCGGGCATTTGGTGGATCATCTTCTCCAGTCGTTGACGCTCAATTGGCCAATCTGTGAAGATGGTCTGCCACATTTGCCATAGGCTCTCGAACTCTTCATCGGACTTGCTGAGCTCTGTGATCTGAGCATCGAGGGGTGATTGCTCTTTGTTCTGCTTCTCTGCCATTGTGTATGGTAGAAGCTTGGGTTTGAATTGAAAATGTAGTTTATCGATATAACCAAATATGCACGTTTAAAGTCTTTGGAATTCCTGGCCAACACCATTGTGAGCGAACCATAGCTTTATATAAGTGCATTGGCTCTTATACGACGAGGTGGTTGTGGGGCTGGGATCTGATGAGACGACTGGCTACTGTACCCTTGAAGGTCCACTGTAAGGATCGAATCTATAAGGGAACGACCGATCTCCCGAGGAATCCGAACAGAACTTCAGGTATTGTTGTCAGCCTTATTATTGGACCGTGCTGTTCTTTCCTTCTCGGAGTCCGATTCAGAGAAGAGTGATGTCTAGAGGCACGGTACTTTGGTAGATTGAGGGCTAGGGTGAACCTCGTGCTGGAAAAATGTCATGTCAACCGCTAGCAAACGCTGAAAGCATGATGAGATGAGGTTCATAAACTATACTTCTATGTGCCCGATAGAGGAGTTTCCGCTCCTCGTGAAGCGTTTTCAATATAGTTAATATTTATAATGGAAATATTTGTGCTGATCTCATCACTATACTATAACAAGTATCTCTGTTTAGGTGTAAACCACTCAAACCAAAGCATCTTCCTACAACGTATGAATCCTGCTCACGCTTTTTCAGAGTGATGTATAAAAACGAGTTTTTGGAGCTATTCATCGGTTACCTGCGTCTGTATCTATCGGGGATCCCCAAAAACGAGACTTAGGTTGGATGTTGAATCGGGCTGCCGTGTCATGAAGTTTGCGTTTTCTGGAGCTTTAGGATACCCCACGTCTGTAGAGGTACGAGAAATTCAACATTCTTAAACAATGTGTGCGAGCGGGAAGAATACGATGATGGATATCATCGTGGCCGGTAGAGTTTCTTAGCACTCATTACCTTAATCAAAGATAAAACCCCCTCCAATACTCTTCCAGGAACTCCCCTTAATTTCTCCCGTCACATACCTTTCAGCAATCCCGCCCAATTCCTGAGACGTAACATAGCCTTCTGTACCGCCGCCATACAGCGATGGTATCCTGACCGTGCACTTCTTCAGCTGGACCCTCGCGGCAAGCTTCCCTCGGAGAATGTCAAGAATATCACCCCAATCACCATCGGTTATCTTAACGTTGCCCATGAAAAAGTGGCCAATTTCATCCCCTAGATTCTGACAAAAGCGTCGAAGCCCCGCTTCCGAGAGTGCAAAACTCTCGATGCAGACCCTGCGTATGCGAGGCCATGGCGAAGTGAATATGGTGGATCGAATTTGGTAGAGATCCCTATGAGGATAGCTCCTCAGAAAGGCCAAGGTAATATCTACGTCAACGAGGCTGCTGTTCGACAACATCGCCCGCAAGTAGCTCTCAACGATGTGTATGTCTCCCTCTCCGACATCCGTAAGCGAAGATGCTCCCAAAGAGAGCAGTTCGAACGATTTCAAGTTTTCGCCAAAGGAAAAAAGATTGGTCCAATCGGTCTGCGGGCCAAAAATCGGACGATACATCCGTGGATCAAGGGGTGCCAAAGAGCGTACGTGAGTCATGTCATTCAGTGAAAAGCGATTGATCAGAACCCCTTCCTTCTGTAATGCAATAGGCAGTTCGCAGATGAACTTGGCAGACTCGAACTCCATGTCCTCGTCAAAGTGGCGGCTGTGCGCTTTGCGTATCCAGTCTGCCAGTGAATCTGGGTTTAGGAATACTGTCGGTGTTCGCTTCGTTTCGGGTGCGCCCTGTATGCCACTCGCATCGGCATAGTGCAGACCTTCGGGGTCGTCGAAAAACAGGTTTAGGGCAATAGGTCTTTGGAGGCTGGCGAGAAGCGACGCGAGAGTGCTTGTGAACACACCATGCCTTAAGAGACGGGCCTGCTCATCGTGCAAGTCTCTGTAGCCTTTGAATCCTCTACGAAGTGCCTCGACGTACCTAGAGACGCTTCTGAATCGTAACCCTATCCTGAGAGCCGATTTCCAAGCAGGTTCTCGGTACATGGCCATGGCCTCCTTGATCGTCTCGAAGCCGTTTCGCGCCGCCACCATCCGATGATCATCATGTGTCGCCATCCAAGGATCAGCATCTATAACAAATAGGTGACAACAGTGGCTAAATAGATCTTCAACCTCTCTTTGGACTATCTCGAGAAACCGAGATTCATCCATGGCAATCTCGGATGGGCAATAGCTGAGCGCTAATCTGACGCCTCTCACTCCAGCGCTGATCAGAGGATTACCGACAATATTCTGCACCCGATCTATGGACTGCTGGTCGATTCTCAAGTGAAGAATTGGGCAGAGCAGAGGCGATGCGAGCTTATTGAAGGCACGGCATACGAGCCGTGCACTGCGGATGGTTTCAAGACGGAACTTTCTGTCTCGAGCTTTGTGCTGTTCTTGTTCCCAGTCCACCGCGCCTGATATGGGCTGTTGTTGAAAGTTGTCAAACATGTACTCAAGAATGACCGTTGGCAGATCAAGGATGTGGAGTGCTCGTATTTTACCCCGCTGAAGCTGTTTCTCTCTTCTCCTGAGAAGCTCTTCATGTCGAGAGCACCATCCCCTCACAGCAAGGCACCTGCCCATGAGAAGACGTTCGATGGGACGATAGTCTACCGGGTGTCTGAAGGCACCAACTTTAGTGACCTCTGCCGCGAAGTCCTTGGCGAACTTGTTCCAGTCAGCTTCGGGATCCTCCTCGTCCGTACGCGTGTATCTTTGAAGCGCCTGCAGCAGGTAGTCATAGACGGCGTCATCTTCTGCCTCCACGCTGAGAAACAGCGGCCGGTATGTCGTGCTGTCTCGGAAATGCCCGCCCCATATCCCCCATCCTTCTTTAAGCCGAGAGTAATATTGGCACAGGATCTGGTCGAATAGGTCAACGCGGCGCAGTTCCTTGTAGAGATCATCTGATTCCAGGGAGCGGGAGACGGGCCAGGATTCGCGAAAGGTGAGAACAGAACAGATGTCCATTTTGAGTCAAAAGACGCGTCTAGATAATGGATTGCTAAATGCTCTACTATGTCCGACACGTGTCTATGAAGTGCGTGATTCCATCGAGCGACAGAAAGCAAGGTGTTGTCGGAAATGGCAGGCAATTGTCCATTGCTCAGCCACACAGCCAACAAGTTTCGGGATATTCAACCGCCTACCCCTGCAACCGCCCATAACTGGAGCACGACATTTCAGGTGTTTCCCCTACCAACGAAACATTTGATAACATATACCAATGGGAATTCTATAAATATCGAGAAAGGAAAATCGAAACCAGAGGTATTGCTTGATTCTACTTACGACAATTCAATTTTGGCGCAACTCTCATTTCACCATCCTCTTCACCAACGAGGGCGAAAAGTCTGGCAGTGAAGTCGCCCAAAGCAGATTTAATGAATAGAGCTCCTAATTTCTTTGATTTCCCAATAAACACTGGATCTTTCAAAAATATAGTTGGAGGCCATAAAACAAATCGTGGCACAGAGGACAGGGGCTAATATTTACTGAGGTGATCATTGTCAACCGCCTACGGCCGTCGCCGGCCTAAAACGCCCAAAGTACCAAAAGAAACAACACGAAGTAGCAAAAGGAACGAGAGAAAGAAAGTAGTAGGCCTCGAATCAGTGGCCGGTGGGCGCTTCACCTTCTCGACTATGAACCCAGCTCGTGAAGAAGAGCTGTGGCGTTACCGGTGGGCCTGATATCATGACCCTGTTATTTAATGTCGAGTGCACTGAGCAATCTTTAGGAGCCTAAGGTATTTAACAGATAAGACTTAGTTTTAACTACCATTGCGAAGAGACGTAGCTTCACTTAGGCAACTGATCTCGTATCACTGACCGGCGCTCGAGAATAGAGGAATGGCTCTCCCCTTGTCCTTGTCCTTGTCCTTGTCCTTGTCCTTGTCCGGTGTATGCAGGCGGCCTGAGCCTGAGCCGCTCTCAAGTCTCTCCCACTGCTCGCTTGTCTGAGCTACGCGGACGGTGGCCTGAGAGATGCCTCTAGCACGACAGCTGGGTGTTTTCTCGCTATAATATCTTGGCGCAGATGAATCTGTGCCGGGGGCTGATCTTTAAAACAGCCTCGCTTGTGCCTATTTAGATCTAATTTGCAAGGTATTTATCCTTTCTAATTGGACGAATTGTCAGATTTTGGAGCACGCTTGCAGCCAGCTTTGGTTTTATATCACATTAATAAACTGCAGTAGGGAGCAAACTCTGCTAACGGTCTCGCCTCAGTCACCTCACAGTGCAATCGTGCTTGTTGTCAAATACTGCTTCTAGATGGTTACCACTTGATAATTTTAAATGCACGAGCCATGAATGATAGAAAGATGCGAGCTTTGTTCAATAGATGACTAAATATCTAGAGTAGATTTCTTAAGATCTATCAAATTAAGTCGTTAATGTCCACAGGAGAAATTAGAATAACAATACATTCCTGAATGTCTTAATGGATGCGTAGCCAAGGCTCTTCCTTCCCAATTTCCAAGAAAGAACTCGGAGGAGCTTAGAAGCTGAGAGTGTTACCAGCAGTTCCGTAGACCTTGCTCTTGACGCTGCTCTTGCCGTAGTTGGTGTAGCTGTAGGGGATAGAGCTGCTGCCGAGGGTGCCGGAGGAGGCGGTGTTCTTGCTTGAGCCCCAGGAGATGTCGCTGGTGGTGGCATAGCCGATGGAGGAGGAGTCAGCGGAGAAGAGGGCCTTGGTGGCGCAGTTGTCGAAGACAGTCGACTCAACGCGGACCTGGGCTCCCATGCGGGTGTTGATGGCAGAGTCAAGGACGGAGAGATAGTAGTTGTTGTAGATGTGGACGGTTCCGAAGCGGATTGAGGGTCCACGGGAGTTGATGTTGTACCAGTAGTTGTTGGCGTAGGTGACGTGGAGCTTGCCCTTGTCCTCGGAGGAGTTGCTGTCAGAGTGTCCAACGAGCGAGGCCTTGTAGTGGTCGTGGAGGAAGGTGTTGGAAACGGTGATGTAGTCGGAGGCATGGGTGATGTCAAGGAGACCGTCATAGTAGTCCTTGCCGGAGCTCATGTCGGAGGAGAGGTCGCAGTGGTCGACCCAGACGTTGGTGGAGGCCTGGATGCCGATGGCGTCGCCGTCGGCAGCCTTGACCTTTGAAATGGCCAGGTTACGAACGATGACGTTGGAGACCTTGTTGATGTAAAGACCAACACCGACAAGCTTGGCGCCAGAAGCACCAATGATGGACTTGTTGGCCTTGACTCTGACTTTGGCGCTTCCCGAGATGGTACCCTTGACATAGATGTTGAGCTTGTCAGAGGACTCGGCAGCCTTGGTGAACTGAGCAAGGGTCGAGACGGTGGTGGTAGATCCACCCTTTCCACCAGTGGTGCCTCCGTTCTGGGTAGCATAGCCAATGTTGCAGGTTTCAGTGATGGCAGCACGCTTGGCGAGATCAACGTTGGTAGCACCATCGTCGTTGGTGGTAGGGGTTGGGACAGCCGAGGCCAGACCCGCGAGAGCGAGACCGAAGATGCTAGAGAACTTCATTGTGAACGAATGGATAATCGAGCTTGTTGTAGTAAAAGAATGAAAGTTGAGGATTCCAGAGCCGGTCTAAGAATCTCACAGAGAAAGACGCAAGAATTATTGCAAAGTGCAAGGGAATGTAAGTGAGACTCCTGTTGATGAGAGGATGCGGAAAAGAAGAAAGACTAATCAACATCACGAAAACCTCGGCGTATTTAAGTAAAATCCGAGTTTCCTCGCCCTTGGAAGAGTACGGAGAACTTACAGTCAATGACTCCACAAGGCATATGCCAAGCTGTCTTGGCCGGCAACTAAGAGCCGTGTGTAACTGAAGCCGACCATGCCATATCGTGTGTTCATAGACCCAGTACTAACAATATCTGGTGGCCATGTAACCTGAAACAAGCCAGATTCTCTAGGACTGATTCGAGTGTCTGTACTGGACTTCTGTCCCATACTGAGATTGCTTCGACGATTTGGGAAGTGCTACCGCAGGCCGCGTACTGCAGCCAAGCTTTTCTCTATCACCTGTCAAGGCTAATAAGGTTAATCCCTAGGTCTCGCTTGGTCTGTAACCCTTACCCCTTTGGCTGACGTGGGTTGAGTATCCTGCTGCATGGGGCGCTGGGAAATTGAGACGATTTACGAGGGCCGCGTCATCCTTCGGTAAGTGGACCGAGAAGCATCAACAACCACCAGGGATCTGAGCATTGAACATGAAACAAAGACTCAATTAATATATCGACTTTTAGGTATTAGGCTTATGTCTAGCGCCCGCGATGCCAAATGCCAAGTCCAAGTAAGGCTCGGCATGCACCTCAAATGTCATGAAACCCCGCTTGGAATCGACAACAAAGGCCAACATGCAGTTGCCAGGAAGTGGTCTGGTTTCCTGCAATCTTATTCCAATGGCCCTTCATACAAATAATTGGCGGTACTACACCGCTTCATGGGGTGATCCAGAGTCTGTGGATAGGTAGTTCGATATCTTGAGCAGGGCAGAGCCGAAGTTGTTCTCACCGATAGCCGAGGATGATTTTTGTGTTACGCAAACAACTATAGTCTCTCGGATGGTAAGATTAGTGATGGAAAGACCACCGGAAGAATTGGTCCATTGGCCGATGGTTTGATGCGGACGAGGTGGCTCCGATGGCAAATACGGAAGCCCCACTCCGGGCCGAGGACGAGATGACGACTCACTGCCGCAACAAGAAGAAAGCTCCGAAAAGAACGAAGTCAAGGGACTGACGATCCGGGTAGAGCCGTGAATGTGACATTCAGCTATACATGAAATGAAGAGCCAAGCCTGGAAACTAGCTGGCAAGTGGGCTAGCGAGAACATCCTGTTTGCGAGTAAATCCAGGCAGTTGGAAACCAGTGCCGCATAGTAGCCAACAACCATGATTCATAACTAGTAACTTGGGTAGTTTAAATCAAGTCTTAAGGGGGAAAGTAGTGTTGCGAATTAACAGTGATATGCCAAGCCTCCATGTCAGATCACATAAGTTGTCATACATAAAAAGAATTAGCACAAGCAGGTCTACACGTTGCTTATTGAGAAAAAGGGGTCGACTCAAGTTGCTACCAAGGTTCATCTGAAGAGCGTCAAACTCTCGGAGCCAAACATTCTACTCCTAGGCTGTGCAAAAGATCTTCTCAGAATGCCCTCGTCTGGCTTCTGGCACAAGAATACTCTTCGATGGAAAGGCTATACTAGCAATAGGGAGTCTATGGTGGGTAGATGAAGAGGCATCTATGGTCGACGTTCCATTCGAGATCTCCCCGGGTTACTACCTGCTAGAAATTGAGATACCTTTTTAGAATTTAGACGGATCTGGAGAGGATATATCTGCTGGGGTTCTTTGGTGATCAGATTCGCGGCAAGAGTTACACTTTCAAGGACCTCGATGTTGGAAAAATCTGGTCTGGCAATTCGGTCAACCAAGGCCTTCCATTCTCCAGTGGAAGCATCAAGTATACATGTTCGTTTATCGCCGCTACAGCAGAGCCAACCATTCTTCATGTGCCGCACTTTTCCGCCCCGGTATTGGGCTTTGTGCTAGATGGTGCCCAGCTTGGGGCGAGAGCGTTCCAACCTAAGGTTGACTAACCGGGCTCTCTGAATCCGGGCCAGGACTACGAGCTTCAGATAGCATGCTACGGGAACCGAGCAAGCGCGTTTGGGGCCCTGCACATGCCTGATGGGATTAGCAGAGTGTTTGCTCCGAATGCGTGGAGAACAGAACATGACGGGTGGATGGAGGGATACAATGTCAAACCGGTGGGGATTCTAGACGTTCTAAAGGTCAAGAATCCAGGATCGAGAAATGGGTGGTTCCGCGTAACCCAGAGAGATTGATAGCATGCACTCAACTGCGTATCTGATAGAACAATATACTGGGCTGTGTACTTTATAAAGTTTCACTCTTCATCAATGTGAAACTTTCTGACAAGCATTTACTTTCGCTTGATGCTGGTACGCTATG